ACACACACACACACACACACACACACACACACACACACACACACACACACACACACACACACACATTCCCCCCCCACACACACGCGCGTACGCACGCTCGCACGCTCACACACACGCACGCGCACACGCACGCACGCACGCACGCACGCACGCACGCACACCCACCTGTGAGCGACGCTGCCCTTCCTGATGTCGGAGATGATGAGAGGGTCACCGGAGTGTCGGTTGCTAGGCGACGTGATGGTGATGCCCAGGCCGGCACCTCTCTTAGCCAGCTTCACGTGAAATATCCCACTGCTGGGCACGACCGACTCTGTAGCCGACAGAAGATGAAGAAAGAAAATATTAGCTTAGCTTACTTTAGGGGTTAGCCCTGGAGTAAGGGGGAAGCATAGGGTTAGCCCTGGAGTAAGGGGGAAGCATAGGGTTAGCCCTGGAGTAAGGGGGAAGCATAGGGTTAGTCCTGGAGTAAGGGGGAAGCATAGGGTTAGCCCTGGAGTAAGGGGGAAGCATAGGGTTAGCCCTGGAGTAAGGGGGAAGCATAGGGTTAGTCCTGGAGTAAGGGGAAGCATAGGGTTAGTTCTGGAGTAAGGGGAAGCATAGGGTTAGTCCTGGAGTAAGGGGAAGCATAGGGTTAGTTCTGGAGTAAGGGGAAGCGTAGGGTTAGCCCTGGAGTAATGGGGAAGCGTAGGGTTAGATGTTATACTATCATACGGGGTGGATACGTGTATGCGCGCGTTTGTCTGTTGTATGGAAGTCTCGCTAGTATATTAGTTATTCTATGTCTCTCTTTCTGTCTCCCTCTCACTATCTCTTTCTTTATTTTTCTCTCTNTCTCTCTCTCTCTCTCTCTCTCTCTCTCTCTCTCTCTCTCTCTGTGTGTGTCACACTCTCTCTCTCTCTCTCTCTCTCTCTGACATGCCACGATGACACGATACAGTGATGACATAATACAGCAATGACACGATGTCGTACCACCTCTTCCCTTCCCACTCACCTGCTACATCAAACTCGATCTCCAGCGTCATGCGAAGCCCCGACTCCCTCAGCAGCTGATCTGCCTCCTCCATCGTCCCATCCTCCAGGTAGCATCCGTTGATTGCTATCACACGATCGCCCACCTGTATAACACCCGTCCTACGGGGAGAAACCAAGCAGATGATGATTAAACAGGCTCAGCTAACCGATCGATGCGATCGCGGTGCGCTAGTCACGCCACCTGCCACCAGGATAATTGCATGTTGTGCGAATTTGAAAGTTTGACTTGTGGTAATTTTTTTAGCTATATATACAGCATCCCCCCCCCACACACACACATACACATAGCATTGATCGAGTATTATTGGATATTATATTCATATATATTCTATATATATATAGGCCTATATATATATATGGCTATTTATATTCATATTCGTATTAGATATTATTCGTATATTATTGGTATATCGTCCAGTGATACTGCATATATCGTTTATTTGTATATTCGGAGTGCCAGATAAGCCAAATATGAAAGTAAGTAAGATATGGTCAGTAGATCTAACGTAACGCAATCCTTTCCTGGCGTCGAATCGACATTGTGCATCCCTCCCTTTCTCCCTTCTCTCCTTCCCTGCCTCCATCCTTCTTTCCCTCATCTCCTCCCTCTCTCTCCTATCATCCCCTCCCTCCTCTTTTCCTCCTTCCATCCCCTCCCTCCTCCTCTCCTGCTTCCATCCCCTCCCTCCTCCTTTCCTTCTTCCATCCCCTCCCTCCTCCACTCCTGCTTCCTTCCCTCACTCCTTTCTTCTCGCCCCTCCCTCTCCTCCCTCCTCCCCTTCCTCCTTACTTCTCTGCGGGCGCTCCTGGACCCACCGTGGGGGCCGCTACTAGCTGCTCGGTGGAGAAGGTTCCTCCCTTCCTCCCTCCTCCCTCCCTGTGTTTTTACCTGTGCGCAGCCTCCATCACGTCGTGCATGACGGGCGTCGTGCCGTGCACGCAGGTGTGTCACACGGAGACGACAGAGGTCGTCATCTACGCCGACCACCGCGGATTCGGCTTCTCTCTCCAGGGAGGAACCTTCTCCACCGAGCAGCTGGTAGCCGCCCCCACGGTCGGTCATGTGGATCCAGGAGCGCCCGCAGAGAAGTAAGGAGGGGTGGAGGGGAGAGGGAGGGGAGGAGGGAGGAGGGAGGAGGGAGGAAGGGAGGCCTTACCTGTGCATAAAACACATACGGGTGAGATAAAACACATACAGGTGAGATAAAACACATACAGGTAAGATAAAACACATACAGGTAAGATAAAACACATACAGGTAAGATAAAACACATACAGGTAAGATAAAACACATACAGGTAAGATAAAACACATACAGGTAAGATAAAACACATACAGGTAAGATAAAACACATACGGTAAGATAAAACACATACAGGTAAGATGAAACACATACAGGTAAGATAAAACACATACAGGTGAGATAAAACACACACAGGTAAGATAAAACACATACGGGTAAGATAAAACACATAC